AGGAATATGGGAAGAAAAATCCAAGAAAAGTTAAACTTGTAAATGGTGTAAAGGTTATTTGTTCTGAAGAGTTTTTGCTTGGTAAGGGAAGTGATGGAACTCGTGTTTACCTTGGACTCGGAAAAGATGGTTATGGAAAAGCAGTAAAACGATTGCTTCGAGATAACTGCGCGGAGTTAGCCAAACAAGAAAAAGATATTTTGAATGAGTTGAATGCAGAGCGTTCAAAATATGTTGTGAATTATTGGTATCTTGAAGAAGAACCAGGCACAGATTATTTGTATTTGATATTAGATTTGTGTGAAGAATCGTTAGAGAGTTATGTGAAATCTTCTTCTTTGCAAGATCTTCAAAAAGTCGTTCCTAAAGTTCTTATTCAGATCTTGAATGGTCTAGTTCACCTTCACAGTGGTCCATGTCCTATTCTTCATCGGGATTTAAGACCATCAAACGTTCTTCGAGATGTGGATGAAAATTTTTTAATCGCTGATTTTGGTATAAGTCGAAAATTATTAAATGAAACTTCGACACATCGAAGCATACAAAGAGGAGCTAAAGGTTGGATAGCTCCAGAGTCATATGACGCATCAGATGAATCAATTGATAAAGTTCGTTACAAAAAACAGTCTGACATTATGGTAAGTTCATAAAGTAGAAATAGAGGTCCAACTACAGGTCAATGTTGTGTTTGCATTTGAATGTTGTATTTGGTAGGGATATCATTATCACTTTTAAATAAAATTTTTGTTTACCTTCATTGTACAGTCATATAGTGGCGAAATACAAATTGTACTGTATAAAATATAAAAATATGTATATGTATGATAATCAATTTATTGTTGTTATTGCCTTATTGGTTTTACGATTTTATGTCTCTCATTTAGATTGCTCTAAAAAATTTGTGGCTACGATTCTTAATTGGAGAACATTATTCTGATTTTTTTCGAACTGAACTTGTATTTTTTGCAACTAACAAATAAATTAACTCCATTTTTTATTAAAAATAGAATGCCGGAATGGTGGCTTATTATGTTGCAACAAAGGAGAAACATCCTTTTGGAATTGAGCGGCATAGACTGGACAACATTTTAAAAGGAAACCCAGTTGGCTTTGACGAAATCAAGGATGCCACGCTCAAAGACCTTTTATCGTGGATGCTACAGCTAAGACCGAAAGACAGACCATTGGCCAATGAAGCGTTAAAACACCCTTATCTACAAACCGATAAGGAGAATTTCGATTTTCTGTGTGATGTTGGGAATGAACCAGAAATAAGGACGTCATCTACACATTCTCTTCCCTCAAACCTTCGTGAGCAAATGAATCTTTCAATAAATTGGATGGACCGTATCGATCCTGAATTCTTTAATCATTTCAATAAAGTATCCGACTCTACATGGTTAGGTTGCCTAAGATTTTTACGAAACGTTCGCCAGCATTGGCGTGATGAATCTCGTCAACAACTGTCATCATGTGTTAAAGATGGAAACTATCAAGAGTATTTTCTTCGACGTTTTAAGGAACTGCCTGTTCTAGTTCACAGAGCCATAAGATTGAGTGAATGGAAGACAAGACCTGTTCTAAAGGAACATTTTCCAAGTAAGACACAGAAATGAGTTTTTATTTTCGATGGCCAAGCTATAAATTAGGGGTCCATGACACTATATTTGTTATTTTCACTCTAGTTCTCCTTTTCATTTATTGTACTTAATGATTGTATGTTTTGAATTCTGCATGCTTGAATTCTGTATGCTTGTATTCTGTATTCTCAATTGCTTGCTAAATATGCGAAAAACACATACTTTTTCCTCACTCTTTCTCAAGGGGGGAAAGAGAACTTGTGAAAAATTCGGAAAAGCAGTCAATTTCGGTAAATCTCAGCGGTAATGGAACAAATCCTCCATTTTTTTGGCGTCAGCCGCTAATTCCAGTGAACTCAATATTTAAATGTCTAAGAGTGACACGCAGTTATGTACATCAAGATATTTTCCATGATTATTCTAAGAATGCTCCACTCGAGGTGTCTGAGAGTGAGGGATTATTTTTTGCTGCTCTCTTCAAGAAATAATCACATAACCTTAAACAATTTTAGTCAACCCAAATATAGAGTAAAATTTTGATAAGTTGTCTTAGTATCAATTATCAATTTTCTCAAATTTGATAAGAAAAAAGTGCTCACGGGACATTTCAACTTTTATTTCTCCTAAACTAAGACAAAAAGGAAAAACGTTACTATGGGATATGGATAAATCAGGGCAAAATTTACTTTTTGCACATTCATCTATGTCATCAGCAAACAACATCATCCATACAATTTTATAAATCGCTCAGCTTTAAAGTGACGCATCAAATTTAATAATGTGTAATTTTTTAAGATTTCGATGGAGTCCCCGCAATTATTGTCATCGGAGGAGTCTATAGCAACCGTATTAAAGAACATATCAGTAATGAATACCTTGAAAAACTGAAAGAATCAGCCAGAGAGGGATATGCAGTCTTAACGGTAAGTAACTCGTTTAAAAAATTTTGTCAGAATTTTTATTAACTGCATTTAACATTATGATTATTTTTATCACCTCAGAATGGTGGCACTGCTGTTGATGCTGTTGAAAAGGCAGTTAGTATTTTAGAGAGCAGTGACTTATTCATGATAGGTCGTGGATCTCCATTGAACAGTGAAGGAGAAGTTGAATGTGATGCAATGATTATGGATGGACACACTTTAAATACAGGTTAAAATCCATTTGTGATACTTTAACTTTGAATATTTTTGATAACAAATAAAACCAGAATGTATTTCCCGCTGCATCTTCATTAGAAATTGGCAAACATGATACAAGGTGTTTACATTTTGTACGAAGCAAATCTCATGATGTCACTCTAGAATAAACTTGGTACTCTTAAAATTGTGAGTAATCAGTGTAAAAGGCTTTAAATTCTTTTCTGTTTACTGTAGGTGCTGTAATTTCTGGTCGAAATTTCAAAAATCCAGTTTGTCTTGCTCGAAAAATAATGGAAGATACACCACATAGTGCTCTTAGTGGTGATGGTGCTTTGAATTTTGCTTTGAGTAAAGGTTTTCTTTGTTGCTCGCCAAATGAATTGATAAATAAACAAAAACGTCTTCCTCCTGAATATTTCGAGGACTATGTTAAATTTTTTTGCGACGGAGGACCTTTTCCTGATATCTCCCCTGATTTTTATCCTGAAGAGGGTTTCAATGGCGATACTGCATGTGCTGTTGCAATTGATAGATATGGCAAGTTGGCATGTGCCACGTCAACAGGTAATGACTAAATATACAGGTCATATTTATAGGCAAAAAGTCATACATAAATTCAGTTCTATATTGTCATCTGCATGTCATCATATTCATAATTACTCATTATTTTAGGAGGTATGCCCGGCAATCTTAAAGGTCATATTAGTGACACTGCATTAGTTGGTTGTGGTGGATATGCAAATGATAAAGGAGCAGCTGCAGTAACTGGTCCTGGAGAGAAATTGATAAAATTGAACTTTTCAAGACAAGTTGTATTTGACATGGAAGCAGGAAGTGCCCAAGTAATGCAAAATATTAAAATTTTTTCATTGTTTCGATGTATTGTATTTTATGTATTATTGACTTTTTTGTGTAAGGTTATGAAACTTATGACGTGGACAAAAATTGTGTGATTTATCAAGTCCATTCAATTGCATCAATTGATACGTTCAACTTATTTAATTATATGATTTAGTCAAGTTTTTTTTCATTACTTTTCTTGACACAAATTCAAATCGCTTTACGTTCGAAAGTTTACTGATTTTTCTCACCACCATGCAAATAGACTTCGTTTTGTTGTAAGGACCATGCCTCAAACTGTTAATCCTTAAGAAATCAACTTATAGATAAAAGAATATTAAACCCAAACTCAATCATGTTTTTGTTTAAGAAAATGTTGCTGTTGATTAATACGCGTACACGGCAGAGCATTTGATTGCACTGAACATGCAATCTCAAGCTCTACTCTAAATTAAAAACTTATTCTCCCAACTCTTTTGTCGCTTCTCAAATCTCAACGAAATTCCTTTAACAAACAATCCCTCTTATTTTAACATTTTAAGCCTTAAAAATATCTTTGTCGCTTCCTAACATTTCTACCACAGTGTTCAAAGACTGGTCAACTGCTGTTTTTTTTTGATATCGTGATAAAACACTGTCCAATAAGAAATTTATAAAATTAAATTTCAATAATACAATTTTAACCAATAGCCATATTCCCTTTTTTGTTTTAACTTTTGTTTATTTTTTTTGTAAAAGAGATCTGTACAGAGTGCTGTGAATTTAGTTCAAGAGAGACTTAATGGACGCGCAGGAGGAATTGCCATTGATAGACATGGAAATATTGGAAAGGCATTTAAAAATGACCTCATGCCTTGGGTTAGCGTCAAAAATGATGAAATGAAATTGGGGTTGAAAAGAGATGATGAAGGAAACTATCCTTTTGAATTTATTGAAAACAATGGCAACAACTAATTTATGATTTTGTACTACATTTCCTCAATATTTATTCACAATCATGCACTGTTGAACTTTAGCATTTGAAACTAAATATTCACAATTCACACAAACAAATAAACAATACAACAATCATAATCATTTATACACGTACATAATTATCGTACGTAAGTACAGTACTCTGTTGCATCAGTTAGTCATATCATATTTTCCTTCATTGTTGAACTATGATATTTGAAACAGTGCATTTTTAATTATTCACATGATACAAGAAAATCACTGTTGATTAAATTTCTTCACTTCAAATATTGTCTGAACAGGAAAGTGTTGTTTTTTTCTTGTGTTTATGGATCACTCCAGCTTAGAAAAGTTTCTTTAAAAGTCAGTGTTACTCAAGCTAATTAAGTCGATCACCTTCCAATATTTTATCTCCTGGTTTACAGTTCAATCATTTAATTGGGCCAGATTTCTGAACGCATAAACTTTTTTGCATTTTCATAGTTTCAACAACACAGACCTCTTGACCTTCAGCTACCTGAGAAAGTGAAGTTTTTAGAGTATCCTCACCAAGTAATTGCACTACAATTGATTTCAATTTTTAAAACTACCTCTTGTCCTGGTTCTCATGTAACTGAGATCACTGTGCCTGGCATTGGTGAATCCAAAAATGGTGTCAAATCCTCCTGAAAATGAAAATTTAAAAAACATTTAGAAAAAGAATATTTTACCCTTTAAGTACTCAGGAATTTGATATTATTATCTTTAGTTTAATTCATTAAAAGGGAAAATGTATAAAATTGAAGGTATAAATAGCTATGTAAACCATAAAATCGATACCTTTGGTTTTTCTTTCATATTTCGTGAGTAATCATTCTGAGTTTCATTCATCACGATGACATCAAACTTACAATGGGTGATAAAAGGTTTGAAAATAATAATTAGAACTTTCGCTTAGCAAGACTCGCGCTAAAAAATACCATGAATTAAATTGACAGTTTTTATTCAACGTAATATCTTAATTTTGAAAGTCATTCATGCCTTTCATCCATAATGTTGAAGTTTGATATTTTGACCATTTCTTGACAAACTCTAAAAATTATTTCATTAGATGTAAACGATAAATTTACCTGCAAATTAATGCGACAACAAATTACCTGTACAAAGACTTTTTTCTCATTTATTGTTGCTTCTACAAGATTTGATGCAAGGTTATACGAGGAATGGAATTTCACACAAGCTCCGTCGATATTCATCTGACATTTAAAGAACAAAAACATACATAAGACTAAACGTTTTCCCAAAAAAGTGCACAAAACAAGCAATTCCTTCGTGACAAATCATAAAATGCACATTGGAAGAAAACGTACCAGATAGCTATCAAAATAACGTTCACTTTATATATCTCATCATTTACCAGCACAAAAAGCGTCCACCTGCTTTTGTCTGTAGAACCAAAATTATTCCTGATAAATGGAAAGTTGTAGGATGTGTCAGAATGGCCGAAATTAACTTTTGAAACATAAAATACACGATAAAACATGAAAGTTGGTTTAAATTATTTGAAGAATTTTATGTTGTTCTTCAAATAAACTATAAAGGATACCTTGTATGATTCAAAAAGTGTTCCTGTCTATTTCCACGAAGTATGAACAAATAACAAGCTGTGGCTGTCAATTCGTTCACTTCATCTCTGTTCAGCTGTTTTCCTGAAAAAAGTAAAACATACCTTTTTTTAAGGCGAACATATTGTTCACAGTGAACTCAATATTTAAATAACTGGAATGATAACTGAAGCCAAAAATTGAAGCCTAAAAAATATTTGTCGTCATCATTTGTCATTACTCGTGTTTCTCGCGTGTTTATAAACAATTTGTACTTTTTCGGATCCTAGATCTTTAGTTTGACCTCAGTTGATTTCATTTTACTATTCAGTTTTATCTTCAAGAAGAAAATCTTTTGAATTATATTTATTTCAATTCTACATCATCCTCAGTGCAAAAGTATTATTACGTCGATCTGCTCTTAAGCTGCGGTTTTCCTTTAAAACATATCAAAGTCTTTAAGGATATTCAATTATTGATGTCGAGATGACAACCATTTAGTATTTCAATTACTATCAAAATCGATGAAAATGACAATCACACTGTAAAAAGTAAAAATGCGAGTTATAGACTCATTATTTTTTATGAAACTAGATATTCAAGTTTCTTTTTTCTTCGGAAAAACAGATCTTTAAATCCATTGAAATGACAAAAAAAGACAAACACTGTCTGACACCGTTTGGAAATTTACCTTTCGATGTAAGAAAATGTTCGGTAAGTCTTATGCTTAAGTTCCTGCCAGTTTCACCGATATAGGAGGCGTGGCAGTCGGAGCAGTTTATTTTGTAAACTGCACCTTGTCGTTCGTTGGGTTGTTCTTTGTCCTTTATGTTCGTTAGTACAAAGGACAAAGAACAACACAACCAACGACAAGGTACAGTTTACAAAGTAAACTGCTCCGACTGCCACGCCTCCTATATCGGGGAAACTGGCAGGAACTTAAACATAAGACTTACTGAACACAAACGAGCTACTAAGAAACAAGACAAAACTAATCACATTGCCGAACATCACCGAATCACAAAGCACAACATTGATTGGGACTCGGCAAAATGCATTACTTACAGTACTGACTATAGACAACGGCTTACATTAGAAAGTTGGTATACCAACTTGGAACAAACCCCCCTGAACAGATCACAGCAATTACCGGCACCTTACAAACGACTTATTCACAATACAAACAAACGATCAACTAAAAACATTACACTTCACACTAATTCTCAATGACAATACACAATTGACACCCACACCCCACACATTACAAATAAAAACATCACACCTAAATCAAACAACACAACTAAAAACATTTCACTTCACACTAATTCACAATGAAAATACACATTTCCTGAACACACAATACAATGACGTAAGAACCAGATAACAAATACGGCTAACTTGACGTTTACTCCTCATTTGACTCTGAAGATGACTGCCGCTAAGGTTGTCGAAACGTCAGTCAACAACAGCAAAAACAGTCCTTCTCAGGACTATACCAACCTGGACGATCTACATTTAGAAACATGTATCAACTACATTGTTATAAAAAATGCAATGCACCTAAGTTATCATTCTAATATTTATAATTCATAAATCAATAATTTGTGATTTCTCGGGCGTAGAAATCCATTTAGTTTGCGTCTGAAACACAATGTTGTGACGTAGCGTACAGACTCGTACAATAGAATGCTAAAACGACAAATTTCAAACTGGCAACTAACTTTTGTTGATAGATAACTTTACGCATTTTTGTCGAAGTCACAAAACTATTTGTTCAAGTTGATGGGAGTATGTTCCTTTTTTTATACTTTTTATTGTCTACTTATCACATACAAAAATTATCACATACAAAAAATGGGTCGTGTAGATGGCTGTCATATAAAAAGTGGCACATATCAAGGAGCGAAGTATATCACAGGCTTCACATTAGTGATGGGCGATACCGCTAGTAAAGATTCGATACGATACCGATTACTTTTTCTTAAAAGTATCGAGGTATCGATTACTAAAGCGATTATTTTCTCCAATTCTCGAAAATATAAGTGTGAGTCACTTGATAAAGATCTGATAATGGAATTTGTAAATTGTGGCCTTATATACTTCAACAAAACGACAAAAATTTTATTTTTTTTGTCTTAAATTACAAACTGTCATAACATTATTAGGAGTAACGATAAATTTTCAGAAGCTATATATATTCGAATTGAAAAAATTGGTTACATGCTGTTCTGAAAGATAAATAAATATTTTTTCACTTTGGAACATGTTAACAGTAGCGATGTATTTTTGAAAGTTACATATTCTTGTTTAAAAAAAGCATCATGTCAACGTTCTTTGCTTTTATCCTATTTCTTTTTTCGCTTACCAGTTCTCCCGCTTTAGAGAAGAGTCGCTCTTAGGGAACTGAAGTCGCTGGCACACAAAGATATTTCCTTGCAATTTTTTCAAGAAGGGGTTATTCACAGGCATTTTCTTTCGACCGAATCAATGGATCGCTTTTCGTCTGTATGTTTTTCTGCTTGAAGTATCTTCGGCATTCTTCTTCCACGACAACATTTCCCTTGAAAAACTTCCCATGACATCAGTCATAGTTATTTTTATTGAAACTAACTTTTACATTGTCTTTTTAATTCTCTAAAAATTAACAATCTCAAAGTCTAGATTGAGTGCCATTGTAAAAGTTTGGTCATTTATATAAACAAGATCAATCATGTTTCCCCAGTCCTTATGCAGTCCTAAATGGCTATCGTGTAGTAACAGTTATTTTAAAAACATTTACGAGGTACTAACTCCTTATTGATAATGTAATAATCCAATAATTATGAATATATGAAACTTTTACTTAGTAAAGAACTAACCATATAACATAAATGAAAATCTTACATATCTGACATCCTGTTTTTTTCCTCTAAGAGAAACGAGAATATTAGAAACAGTCGTCCATTTTCGTTCGTGAAGAATTTTGATGCTAAGTACATTTAGCGTTTAAATTATTTTTAATTCATTTTGTTTGTCTATTTCATAATTATAAATAAACCTTGTATGATTTTTGGTTTTTTGTTTAATCATTGGTCAGCAAACACGTTGTAACGATACATGAACTGTACAGAATAACTTTTTTCTTGTTTGTTTTTATTAACTTTTCGTTAGCAATAATATTTAGTCTTTCCATATGATCATGTAAAATGTTAGAGTTTGATATTTTCCTCGAGAGTTTTTAGTTGTTTTTTTAGTCGATGAAAAGCAAAATTGATAAGAATCGATGACAAGAAAATCACGGTCCATCATGCATCTCTATTTCTAAATACGTTTTTCAAAACAAAATAAAATTGGCTAAAAGCAAAGCACCTCTCTTGTATGTACGTATTTCATGGTATTTTATACGTCATCATTTTTCATTTATAATTGTTTGAGATTCTTTTACATTTTATTGACTTGTTTTCTTTGACGATGAAGACGAAAATCTTTATGATCATCAAATGAAGATTAGCCATGCGAGTGTTTAGTAGACTGGGGACTAGTAAGATGAATGTAATTTTTTTGTAAATGGAAACATCGTCGTTAATAGATTTAATACTCTCTAGCAATAATATAAATAAAATTAATAAATATTTACGAAATGAACTCACATGAAAATAGTTTAATAACCATCAAAGTTAGTTAAGTAAACGAGAAATATCATAGGTTTAGTATATGTAGATTTCACAATGATTCACAGTTTGTTTATCATCAAAGCTTCAATGTGAGTAGATATGATATATATGATGGATATATATGGGTTAATGTTTTTTATAGATCAAATTTCCTCTCTAGGCCCTTGTTGGTTTGTTAGTTTACACCGATCATTTATGCAGTTTAGGAACTTGTGTTTGATTGCTGTTGATGGCAGACGTTTGTGGCTGTTTCAAAAGACGTCAGGCCATGGAAAAATAAGTTTTATTATCGACTGAAGAAAGTAACTGGGGACAAGTAAGATGAATGTTTTGAATTTTTTTCAAATGAAAACATCTTTATTAAATGTTAGCCAAAATATAAGTATTTACAAAATGAACTTAAATGGAAATAATTTTATGCAGGTAATGGTTAATGGTTATAGATAAAATTTCCCCTTCAGGCTCTTTTGTTGGTTTTGTGCATATTAGCTTGTAATTATTCAAGTATGTAATTTATAATTAAATTTGAATGAGATATAGTGAGATAAGTTGCAGTAAAATATTAAATGAAAGCTTGAACAAGGGCTACAGAGTGAAGGCTTATTTTTATTTGTGGTATCACCTGACATGATTAATGCAATTATACTAAGATAAAACGAAAAATGTTATGACAT